GCCCCAAAGCGGTCAAACGATGTCACCAAAGTGCCAAATCAGGGAGGAGGACTGGCCTGGGTAGGCTTTCATGTGACCCCCTGCCCCCGAGAGGCAGTGTTTATTTGGGCCAAGAGGAAGCAATGATCTCAGAGCAGCTCAGCCAGAGCCCAGTGAGCTCAGCGCACAGGGACGGAAGCAAAATTTTCCGTTCTGGTTCAGCCGTGAGCAAAGTTGTTAGGAATCAGCACGAGAACTTCGACTTTAACTGATTTGCATCGGTGAATCTTTTTGCGAATCTGGGCTTTCCTTCCCCATATGCTCTCGCTTTAGGTTTCACAGAACTCGAGCGGATAATCGCAGGGGGAAAAAAAAAAAAAAACCACGATCTGAAACATGTTCAGTGTATTTTTGCTCACTTGTTTAACAAACACTCGATGGCACATACTACGTGTCCGGTGCCATTCTAAGCACTTTATATATATAACCACGATGCCAGGCTGCCTTTCATTCATTTATTCATTCATTCAATAAAAATAAATTGGATATATTCTGCGAGGCCACATCGTGCTAGGAATAAAAAGTCACAAGATGCAGTTTTTTTTTTCTCTCTCTCTCTCATGGATTTAGTGGGAGAGACAGACAAGTACATCAACGGCACGATGCCTGAAATAAGGGCACACATGGCACATAGCATGTGTCCTGGGGGCTAGGAGGAAGGCCATGCCGCTCAGCCCAGAAGCGGGGGTGTTTCAGCTGTACCTTGAAAGGTGGGCGAGGCTCTGCTCGAACAGTGAGGAGGGGGCGATGATGCAGCAGGGACAGCCGTGCACGGGACCGAGGGACCGGCAGCCTGTACCTCCCAGGAGCTAGCTGCAGGCCCCGTGTATTCCTCAAGCCCAGAGCAAAGCTCTCGTCTGCTCAGCTGCCTGCAGCGGCCACGTACCAAATGCTGGGGGCTTCAACAGCAGGTGTGCCTCGCAGCGCGGAGGCTAGAGTCCAAGATCACGATGTCAGCGTGTCGGTGTCTGCTGAGGCCTCTCTCTGGTTTATCGACAGCTGCTCTCTCGCTGTGTGACCTCACATGTCTGGCATCTCCTCCTCTTCTTATGGGGCCACCAGTCAGATTGGATTAGGGTCCCACCCTAACTTAATCGCCCACTTACAGGCCCTCTCT